CGTACTTTCAGCAGTGTAGTTGTATGTCTTGTTCGCTCCCGTCCACCATTTGTCATTTTGCTCTACCGGTACTGTTAACCGTCGCCAGCCCACGAAACAACTCAATAGAACCAACATACTTCAAAATGCTTGGCTTGTAAACTGCTTTGCTATTGGTGAACATCTGCACTATAACTCTAGGCAACAGCCATTTGTAATAGCTAAATCAATAGTAACTATTTATGGCTTTTTTTTCAGTGCATCTATTCAAAATATGTGAACGAAGAGCTTCGCACAAGCGCTAATTCTTTGTTACACGGGAAATCCCTTTCGTTTTCCAATACCTTCGGTTGATTCGTACTTCAGAGAAAATAATGTTTTTGAACAGATGTTCACCTCGTATGTTTGGTTATTTTTAGAGGCGTTTGTTGCACATTTATCGATAGCACGAGCTACGTATTGAAGGGTTTAAGAAGTGCGATTTGTGACGAGAGTGCTCTGAGGCGGTATTTTAAGGCTCAAATCGCACAAATACATTATGCTATCTGGATAGGTTACAACGAAATAGGAAAGAGTCATTTGCTATAAGGCTCACAAACAACATAAAACTGTGTATTATAAAGTATACAAACTGTATAGTATATCCAGAGTAATATTATTGCTTTTCCTCTAGGTAACCAAGATAATTCTTCGACTATCCGTGAATATTAGATTTCTTTTGTAATGAAATTATGTGGACGAAAAAATGTCAAGCAATAAAGTTTGGAATTCCTTTGATTTGACTAAAAACATATGATCGTTTGATAGTTTCATGTGAAACTCAACAAAGCACTATTTCCGAAGAACTTTGCCTACATGTGTACTGTACACAGTTGGTGAATAGAATGTTGCCCATGCTCCACTGGTAAAATCATAACGTATTATTCTTTCACCATTGTACATTAAACTTGCTTAATGAAGTCGATTGTCAAGTCTTCGCAGAAATATATTTAAGTCTTTATGTACTTTAGGGAAATTTTTCTCAGTATTACCGTCGCTTGCTGGGTAATTCCCATTTGAATGTGTTTCCTGGTTATTTGGGTGATACGAGTGATGAGCACTAGAAAGGTTTCACCAGGAATTCGCCGAAATGGAACGAAAAGGGCAATTTTTTTTATCAAGGCAATAGGGATACTTCCACGAAGAGTGACTTTCGCGAGATCCTTTGGGGGGAAACTCTCAGTTCAAGGTACAAAAAACAATCTCCTTATGCGATATAGTTAGTGAACATATGTGTATTCTATAATATTACTTCTTAATTCTAAAAACCAGTAAACTCGGCTAACTCGACATCCAGCAATCAGGAATGAAAAAACTTGTTTATAAGTTTCATTTAAGATTTCTCCGTCTATTGAAGAAATAAAATTCGCAAATAAGTGCAAAATTTTGTAAATGTAAGCTGTCCAGAAGACCTGTATACCATTGAAGTTATATAATTGAAGTAGCATATGAAGTGGAATATCCTGAATTCCTTTTCCCTACCCTGGATGCTTTCTTGTAAGTAATAGAGACACATGGAATGTACTACATATGGTCTGTAATTCTGTGACTAATAAAGGTGACGTAATAGTAATTGTCTGTAAACTATTTCGTCGTCGATTTAGTAGACCTTCAAATTAGTAAAAAAACACCTTATTTTCATTCCATTTCATTATTACGAGCAGAAAGAATATACCCAGATCTGACCTCCAAAGAAGCGAGGTTTAAAATGTATTGAGTAATTTCCTCATAAATACTACTTTAGAGGCCCAGCTTGTGTGTCCTAGAGTTAACCACGTTCAACATGCGACATATGCCCCTCACTGGTCCGCAACTAATAATGGGCAGGTATTGGGCGGCGGGTTCCGTTCTGATGCAAAGAGATTTCGTTTGCTTTCCGAACACAAATGCATGAAGAGTTGCCTATGCACTAGGGGCAAAAGCCACATAATTATGTAACTTCATTTTATGGAATTTCTCACCACAAGTTCATTGGCAAAATGTTATTATCTTCAACCCCTGTACATCCCCTAGAAATGTGTAACATGTATTCTATGGCCCCTGTATATTCACATTACTCTGCACATGTAGTTTCAGTTAAGAATAATACCGGGAACGTCATTTTCATGGTAAATTAAATCCAAGTTTTGTGGGTTCTAGTTTTCGAAAAAGCGATTGACGGCAAAACGTCTGTCTGTCCTGTGGTCAACGCTAGCGCCTAAATCGTTCAATTTTCTCCAAAATTGACAGTCCCCGACGTACTCGAACTCTTAAGAGTTTCACCTAGAGGGTAATTTACATGAAGTCTCTAAACATTTGAAAAAGTTCAAAAAAATTGCACAAAATATTTTTATTAAACTTTGTCTTTGGATAGTGTAAATGACCCTTAAGTAATTGGTGCAGGTCTCATGTTCGTAGAAATCCCTGACTTTTCAAAAATTGCAAAAGTAATATTTTTGGTCATTTTCCTACAACTATAATATTAGAGAGAGACGTGTTCCTTAATAAATTCTCTACTTTAAAGACATCATGAAATAATGTCATATTCAATTTTCCGAAAATATTAGTAGTTTTGTGAAATTTGCGCGAAGCATAGGCAATTTTAATCTTTTAACATTTTTCTCAAAACCGCCTTTTTAAAAAAAATGTTCTCCTCAAAGGCACCAAGGGACGGTAAAATATTGTGCTGGTCCCATCACCGGTAAATTCTCCGTTTTTTTCGATAATTGCTAAAAGTTAATATTTCAAAACTACAAAATAGAAGATTTATTCATTAGACAAAGTATGTTGTAAAATATTACCTCTTTAAATGAACGCCAGGTAGAAGTTTTTGAACAAATTGATATATTTCGGGTAATTTGTGTCTTAAATTTATGAAATTTCTCGATGTTTTTTTTTTCTCAAAAACGCTTCAAACGTTTTCTTCCAATTTTTCCTACAGACGCTTAAACGAATGGTTGCTTAAAAGAATGGCGTGGTTATCATTTTCGTTGAACTCTCTGAATTTTTGAAAATTGCAAATTGCAAATTTGGAAATAATAGGAAAAATTATGTGCAGTTATAGCTTCAATAGTTATAATTTTCATTTACTTAATGCAAAAATTGCGCAAAAAACAACTCTTTCTTTCAAAAAAAGGATTTGTGTGACCTTTTTTAAAAATATTATTTTTAGCACTTTTATTTAAAAAGAAAATCTCTATACTAATAGTATTGTAGTTTTGCAATGTTTGCAACTTTCAAAAAGACAGTTTACCGAAAATGGGACTAGCATAATTTTTATACAATCCTTTGACCCGAGGACAAAATTGTATAAAAAATATTTGAGCCGTTTTTGTTAGAAAAAATGCTTTAAAATTATCTATATATTTCGCAAAAACGCTCTTATTTTCTCAAACCTCTACAAAACCTTATTTCAAGATATATCCTTAAAGAATATATTTCATTCAGGAACAAAATGTATCTTCAATACTGTAATTGAAGGAAGAATTTTGAAGACTCATTTTCGAAATAATTTTCGAAGAAAACTGAGATTTCAACGAAAACGATACCTGCGCATTTCTCTGAAACGTCCTTAACGATTATTCGAGTAAAAATATTAATCCAAAAATTTGAAGCTACTGTTGAGAAAGTTTTGAAATGATTTTAAGGCTTCAAGTAAAGTTCCCCCAGAATTCAAAACACCAAAATATCCGTTTCAAACTCTGACAGACCTGAGTTCATTTAAATCGATCAGGGAATATCAATTTACAATAAAATCTTCTGAATGATTGAGGTGGTAGGTGGTTGACCACAGAATGACATACGTTTTTCCGTCAATGGCTTATTTGGTATTGAGGACCCACAAAACATGGATTATGGCTATACCTGTTAAAGGAAGTAATTTGTTACATATAGGAACAAGATTTATCTACTTGTTCGTAACCAGGGTTCGGCAATGAGGATTTTTCGTCGATAAATCAAAGTTTTCCGTATTTACTAGGCTGTCCGGGTGACGCCGCGTCCATGGCGAAGGTGCCGAGGTTTCGGTCGCCATTGTGCGACCTTCCTCAGGGCGTAATGAGGAAGGTCGCAGAATGGCGACCGAAACGTCGGCACCTTCGCCATGGACGCGGCGTCATCCGGCAGCCTAGTAAATACTGACTCCGGCCGCGGAAGCCTACACTCCCAAAGTTTTCCGGCCCACGATTACGATTCCTTGTCTTCTTACGAAGAAAGAGTGAGGCAATAAAAGGAATTAACTTCAGAAAACAACGGAATCAAACTGGCAGTCGTTGGTAGCTATACCTACCTAGGAATTCCATTCCATTTTCAACTCCAAGACATACAACTTAGCCACCAGAAAAGCAATAACGAAAGGGAAAACAGCACAGGAAGCAGTAGTGAACTAAACTGATCCTAGTTTATTCATACCCGGCGTAAAGTCCTAGTCAGTTTTTTCGAATAACAAAAAATACACTTTTTACAATCATTAAATTATACTAAAATGTAAATTGGGCTAGGGTATAAAAAATTACCTTGTTGATTGAAAGGTCATCTGAAATGTACCCACAATGAGGAGTGAGTTTGGAAGCAGTTTGTGAAAGCCGCATGCAAGCGACGTACTGTGATAAAGAAATGTTTATTTTATATTTCCGGATGAAAAATATTACAAAAACTGTATTTCAAAAAGTATTTCATATTCATCAGAGAAAGCACTGCCTCCTATGCCAACCCCAGGAGATGCTACTAGTTTCAATTTCAATCTGATTAACGACTTTTTGAAAAGAAAAGTGTTGCATGAAAATAGTTTTCCGGTAATAAGAAAATAAGTTAAATGTCGAATCGATATTGCAGCACAATCTCCTTTTCAGACTTGGCTCGCATTTGGTTACGATCGCATATTATTATTGACTGAATTCTTATTTTACTCGGACAATAAATGTTTTTTCCCGTCTGGTGTGTTTTTTTTATTACATTTCCTAAACATGTTTACAGATTTTTTGATAATTTATACTGTTTTGTAGAGTGTTACATAGGTGAGGACACAAATGATAAATGCTGTACATTTCAGTAATGGTAGAAACAGCGTGAATATTTCTCAAATACTGTGGCTGACTTTTGGAGACTGAACAGTTGTATTTTCACCAAATAATTTAGAAAATTCGTTTTGGAATTCTTCACACTTGTTTCCTCACAAACATATCTCGGCGCCCAGTTCAGCCGGATACAAGATGAAAAGATATTAGTGTCTTTTCGTGTCTTCGGATCATGGCGGGACATGATATCTGTTGCGCTCATGTATGTTGCTTTAAGTGTGGATGTTGCGATTCTGGGGTATCTAATCTCAACTTGTGATAAGATTGAAATTCGCAAATAAAAGTTTTAACATTTCCTTAACATATAACAGCAATATGGTCAATCTCATGATCAAATGATGCTTGTTATACCAATTGAAGGACATGTAAACGTTTTCGAAAAACTTAGTAGTTTTCGCGTATTTTTCCGTGGCAATTTTTAAACATATAGGCAATTTGAGCAATATAGACAATTTTTAAACATAAACGTCTCCAATTTCTTTCTATCAATTTTCTCTCGAATGAATCAAAGAACTGAAAAGAAACTGGTAAATTTAATGTACACCTACTAACTAGAATTATCCACTTTTTCAATATAATGAACCTGCAACATGAATTTTTCTTCCGAAAACCCGCCGCATTTTGTAGCAGCGTTACGTAACTTCTTCTACACTGCGGAAGAGGTATGCGAGAAAGTAAAAATTGTTAGGAGCAATGAACTTCATGTGTTATCAAATAAATTCTTTATCTTTATTACGTAGGGAATCTGATATTTTTGCCGGAGTGTTGTGGCGACTTTTCATAGGTAATAGTACGAGTGCTTTAGAAATTATGGATATATCTCCGACTCGAAGAGAGGAGGGGATTTATTAGATAATATCCAAAGCACGACTGGTATTTAATAGGACTATTCCCCGAAAGAAATTATGTCCAACAGAGTTACAAAACGTTCAGTATTTTAATATTTATCAGAGAGCTTCATTGTTTGGTTATGGTTACGACAGAGTGAGTAATTAATCAGTCCCTTCTGTGAGATGTCATAATTATTCTAGCGAGCGCCGTCTGGGATGTTACGTACTGCTACACCGTTCTGCTAGCACCAGACGTGTCGCTGGGAGGTGCAGCGAAACCTACTAGAAAGGCGACGTCGGAGCGGAATCGTGTGTGACAGCTGTCGCCGGCGCGAACAGGCGTTATTGATGGTCGCGAGGCCAACGCGCGCACTATGGCGAGAGATGCTGCGTCCGGCGCGGCGCGGCGCCACGACGCCCGCCGTCGCGGTGTGCGGATTGGCTTCGTGACGCGCCGCGTCCGAAACTGCTGCGCGACGCGATGCGACGGGAATGAAACGCCCCGCACATGACTTTCTGGCTGAGGGGGTTCAATGATTGGTTACTAGCGCTTCCGGGCGCGTCAACGTCAAAGGTCATTAGCCTGTACGAGTAGTGAATGTTTTTTGCTCGGGAGGCGGTGATCTTGCCCCGCTAGATGGCGCCGACCTACCATCGGCTAGCGGGGTTTTCCCCTAACCAGGTATCTCCCACCAACAGGGCATCGCCCCAACGGGACATGCTCTAAGCTCTCTACCGATCTCCCCACATATGTGGTGTGGGAATGTGGGTATGTGTATGTGGGTATGTGTGTTAGGGGTGAGTCTAGGACAAGGAGTGGGAAAGAAAGATCGCGCGCGGTCCGAGTCCCGTTGCTCCGGCATCCGCCTGGCATTGATCGGAGAAACCTCCCAACATCAGATATTTTAACGAAATTTGTACTTAAGCAATTTTTATAAATGTACTTAGATCAATGCGCGAAAAAGAAATTCAAAAATCGGTGCTATTTTTGAGAAAATGTTGATAATGTCATTGAAGTCTCGTGCCAAATACCCCAAAAATTAAACTATTCATAATTCAAGGAGCCCGATCGGCCAGGGATGATAAATTTTCGTGAACATCCTATCGACGGTTTGACCGCTTGTGTTTTCCAAAATGGGACAAACTGAGAAGTCTTGCTTTAAACTAATTTGTCGGTATTAAGGGCCAACAAAATGACGATTCTACCTCCACGACATGTTAACGGAATTGTTTACTACATATAGAAACAAGAATTGTCTACATTTTTCGTATCAGGTACCATCAATACGGTTTTTTCTCCCAAAAATCCCCAGTTTTCTCTGTAGCATTACAATACTTTCTCTATACTACTTGATAGTACACGAAAAAGTGGAGAACACCTGTGCAAGGCGCAAATTGATGCTGATAGACTCAAAAGATCCTTCGCATATCTGCAAAAACAAGCGTTGCAGATTCTGAACTTCGGTTGCAGTAGCCAATGACAGAATTTTGTTAGGTTTCGGTTCTAGACAGTTGTCACTCTCTCACGGAGATCAACTCTTCCGACCAATCGTATTAAGAGTAAGTAAACATTGACATCTTAGATGTTCGTGAGCGGCCACACGTGTAATAGGAATTATTCGAAAAGATGTGTCTGAGCATAATGCATTTCAAATACAGACGTTGGTCAGCATCTGGCTCAAGAGTGAGTGGCAGCATAGTGAGTTAATCACTCTTACGAAACACGTACTTTCGAATATGTGGAGAGAGCTTAATAAATATTTACGAAGGTCTACCGTCCACTTTGCCTCAGTAAAAATCTCAGAAGCAATAAGTATAGAAGGTGCAATAATACAATTACATACAGTACACTAATTGAAAATTAAATAATTAACAAATATTGACCTAAACGCAAAAAAAATCAATTTGGTCGAGTTGTAGAGTTTGGTAAAGTAATTTATTTTCTGTCCTAAATTCTTCATTCAAAAAATAAAATAATAATATTTATTGAGTGAAGTCAAATATTATGTACACCGGGGGAGTGCAATTGCGCATGTCTTCCTGCGTTCCTGAATCCCTACACTCTGTTTTACTACATCCCATTAAAAATAAAGGTAGACATGAACAAATTCTTACCAGGTTCACTCCTGTTTAGTAGAATCTCTTCCCTCCTGTATACTACTCCTGTGTAATAGAACTGCAAGGACAAAAGATCTTCAGAAGTGCTACAAATACCAAAACATCCACTCCTCTCGCACCTAGCAAACGATGTTTTACTTTTTATAAAATTATATTTACATTATTGGTGATATGTATAATTAAATTTTCTCGAATATGGTACCATTTTTTGTTTAAACTTTTTCATGAATACGGCTAAATGCACTCAAGACCAAGCCATTTCGATTGATTCCTTTTAATTATTCAAAATTTCATAAATCAATATTTTTAATTCCTCATACGACGTTAATATTTTCATTGAGGGTATTTCTTAGACATTATAGCATTTGTGAGTACAATTGCCTCAAATAATTTCTTATGAAGTTTCTCGTAAACTCCGAAGTTTTGGATAAAAATTAGTTTCAAAATGCGCATATTCAGAAATGCTCAAACATTTTCTCAAAAACGGCCCAAATTATTCAACAAAAGTCAGTTATGTTCAGGAACACCGGTAGTTTTTTTTTCTTTGCTTCAGCTCGAACTGTTTTTTGGGGGGAGGCCGCCAGTGTATGGCAGCTGACAAGAGGGTGGGGCAAAACCAAACAGGCAGCACAAACTAAGGAGATAATGGAGTAAACTAGTACAAAAAAGTCTGTGACATTCTGGTGCATCATTCGTTTTTTTCTTAACTTCAACTCGAAATGAAGCTATCTAAAGTTAGCAGCGTCCCAAAACCAATCTCAATCAAACCATATCCAAACTTTTGGGCTAACTTGAGACTAATTAAATGCTCTATCCCCGAATTTTAAGCTCTTTTGGATTTCCCAAATCGTGGGCGATGCTAAATCTAGACGAAAGCTAGCAGCGTCCACCTAGAAAATTCATCTTAAAGTCTTTTCAAAAATATGAAACCTCAGCCAAAATTTAAGGTTAATTTGAGTTTAAAAAAAAATTAAAAACCTCAGAAAAAATGAAACCCTACACAAAATTTAAGACACTACGATAAAAAGTTTATAGCTTTTATATTCCAAAAATCAGGGCTTTACAAAGAGAAACAATTAACATTAGTTCTTATGAATGAATACACACCAAAATCAAAAATCGCAGAAAAAATATGAAACCCTACCCAAACTTTAAGGCTAATTTTGGGGACTAGAGAAATATTATTCCCGCATTTATATTCCAAAAATCAAGGTTGAACAAAGACAAACATTAATCATACCGTCTCAAAGGCGAACACTCACCCAAATCGAAAAAACAAAGAAAAAGTATGAAATATTACCTAAAATTTAAGGCTAATTTGAGGCTCAAGAAAAAATTAAGCTCGCATTATTATTCTTTGGGGCGAATAAACACGAAAACCAAAAAAAATATTATCCGAAAAAATGGTTACATACCCATGACTCCCATAAAAGTTGATAATTCACAAAAAAACAGCCTCCTAAAGTAATCATTGCAGAGATACAACGAGAAACGTGTTTTTCGTGAATTATTTGTTTTCAACTTTTATTGCATATATCAGGATGAAGGGAATGCAGAAACGGGGGAGAATAATTGAGTTTGAAGGTATTTTGTCAACCAATTTTGACGATAAATTCAATAAAAGAACGTTTTGAAATTGATTTTCGACGTGACGACTTTCTCCTGTCCCATGAGTACTGTCTCAGGTTTTTTCCCTGTGTATAGGATCGTTTTTGTTTTTTTAGGTTTTTTGGTTTTCATGTTTATTTGACCCAAAAAAACGTACGTTAAAAGCATCTATTTATACAACCCTGATTTTTGTAATAAAACTGCGAGAATAATTATTTTTCTAGGGCCTCAAATTATCTTTCAATTTTGCGTAATGTTTCATAATTTTATTGAGGTTTTATGAGTTTTTTGTTTATTCACCTATACGAAAGTGTTAACTAATTCTCTTTGAATTGCCCTGATTTTTGGAATTGAAATGTAAAAATAATTGTTTTCCTAAAGCCTAAAATTAGCCTAAAATTTTGAATATGGTTTGGTTGAGATTAGCTTTTGGGCGCTGCTAGCTTTAGATGGAAATTAAGCGAAAAAAATGGTCGACTTGACACAGAAAGCCATGTGAATGAGATTTTGTATTTATTTTAATGGAAGTAGTGATATGATTCCTTTACTCTGAACAACATGATGTTAAGCATAAAAGTATATTATATTAAATAAATTATACATAATAAATATTTAAAATATATGTATATTGTTTAAGTCTTTGATATCAGATGCCAGGGTGTTGTAAAGAGTTATGGCCTTTATTAGGGTACTTTTTTTATAGAGTGTAGTTGCAGAGTGACGGAATTTGTAAGTTATCCTTTTAACAAATTTTGTAGTTGTGTTCATCAGAATTTAGATCTTTGTTTTCCATGAGAATCTGTAAAGATCACTATTTCAAATTTAAACATGCATGAGAGAGGAAAAATGCTTAGTTGTTGTTTTTTTTGCCAGAGGTTTTCAAGTCTTCAGTCCATGAGAACTGGTCATGGTTCGCAGAATTCTTTTTAGAATAATAAATGTTCGAGTGCTTTCAGAGGCATTTCCACAGAATATTATTCTACATTTTAGGAGTGAATGCCCATTTCAAAGTATAAAGAGATTTGCAAAGTATCCACCCGTAAGCAAGAATTGTTAATTTAAAGAAAGTTGTTAATTTATTTCACATTAATGCTATATACAACAAATTACTGAATGATTTATTAAAGTGTGAGCAGGAGCCACTTTCCCTGACTCGGCTCTCATTCCGTTTTCTTCCTCAGTCACGCATCTAGTTGCGTAGGCTCGGATCGCTTGCAGCTCTAGACATTCAGTTTGAGTAGGTGCCACGGACTTAACGTGAGTCAATGTTATAAAATGTTACATATTAACCTTAAAAGGGAGCTCTGGTACTAAAAGGTTAATCAAGATTTTTTCGAGACTTTTTTTTTTTTTTTCAGTGAAAATTGCTAATAGTGTGAATGTCAGTAGGGACATGCCCTCACAAATTACCCTTGATGCAATCACCTTATTTCATTTTATATGCACTTTTCTTCTTGCGAAGTGTTAAGTTTCTAACAAGATTTGAAGTGTCTTAACCCCAAAAACCCTACCCCACGAATCCGCCATAGGTCACATAGTCTTTGGCAGGGGAGGCCCGCGTCATTCAATGCATTTGACATCACTTATGAACATACCAGTATAAACACCAAAAAACGTAAGAATTAAAAACGTAAGAACGTTGAAGAACATTTGCACTCAGGGGGTAAAGTTTACAATTTGTTTCGATATTTGTTATATTGGTTATTTTGACAACAATTCATTCAGAAGCTCGAAAAATATGTGAGCAGTGTCTTACATGATCCAAAGACGTCTAAAATTGCATATCTTAAGATGTTTCACCAAGTTATTCCCTACAACTGGCGCTCTCTGGTGGCACTTTCGCCAAGTGCCTAACGCATTAAAAGATATAAGATCATAAATTTATTACTGTGCACGTCTACGCTATGAAGCTTTTGGAGCGTCCTGAAAAATCTCGGATTTAGGTAGTTTGGTTACTGTAAGAAACCCTTCATATAGTTTCAACAATGTTATCACGCAGGAAAGCGACTAATTTCACCGTATTTATGGAGCATTGTTTTTGCAAAAAGCAAAAGATTATAAACATAATTGAACTCTGGCCGACTTCTATTGTGTAGTGTCACAAAAGTAATTTCATCGCAACGCCGTGAGGCGACGGCTGGCTTCACTGACATGACACTTCCTGCCCCAGCGACTCGCCGCTCCGACGCCCACTTCGCTATTCTTTAATCTCTGGCAACGAAAGGAAGAATCGTCCTGAATTGTGTAACGTCCTGTACGTTGTTAAATGAATTCGATTTCCTGTTTATGAAACTGGGAAGTGTTGCATCCATGCTATTACTTCACGGCGTACTGCTTATACAGTATATTTTGTGAGTAAACATTTTTTTAAAATATGAATAATCTTCAATAGGAAAAACGTAAAAGAGTAAAGGAGCGAGAGAGAGAGAAAGAATGAGAGAGAAATAGAGAGAGAATGAGAGAGAGATAGAGAGAGAATGAGAGAGAAAGAGAGAATGAGAGAGAGATAGAGAGAATGAGAGAGAGAGAATGAGAGAGAGAGAGAGAATGAGAGAGAGAGAGAATGAGAGAGAGAGAGAGAGAGAGAGAGAGAGAGAGAGAGATAAAAATGGGGAGCAAAGTAGTAAATTGAGGAAAAAAGGTTTCGTATTTGTTTCGAACCAGTGACAAGTCAAATTCTTTACAGAGGACAGTTATGATTTTACTATCTGGGGAGAATTTTGGGTCAGACCTGTATGTGAAAGAAAACAGACTAGTAGACAGAATTTAGAATATTATTAAAATTATTGCAAGGAACACTCTTTAAAATAATTTTTGAATATACATATTGAAGCGGAATCTGTGATGACTCCTAGTCTGTGGAAGTGATATCACGTTGAGATGTGGTGTAGCCGAAATGGGATTATTGGGGCCAGGCCACGGAAAGGAATACAGCGGCCAAATTTCAATGGCTTCCCCGCTTGTGGAGCTTTGCTTACCTCAGCCACAAGAGCTCTTGACCTAGAAAGATTGGGTTAGGTCTGGGTTTGAGGAAGTATCTCCATTACTTCGTAATTTACAGTTATACGAAACATACTGCGAAATGGATAGCACGAAGTTGATTGAGAAAAAGGGTTTCACACAAACCCATAAACAAGTAAACACTCATAATACTTTACATTATTTTACTCAGTTATTACTTTCAATAGTGTTTTTACAAAGTAAATTGTAAAATTTTCTAGATTTAAAAAAAAATATTTCTGTGAACTGTAAGACTTGTGACAGGCTTTAATCAGATGGTAATCTTATTTTATAGCCGCTTGTCGCAATAGCAACACTGCGTTAATCTCAGAATTTCCTTCGACAACAGAAGGTTTTATCTCATCTCCCGCGTCGCGTTGCGATCAGCGCAAAGCAGTCTCGCCAAAGTCGCTGACCTCTATGCATCAAACGGGACAACGGTGGCGGCAAAGACGATAGCAGAAACCCGCCGTCTGTTTCTGCGGCGCACACCGCTGGGGACTGTTCGCAGAATGTGCACCTTCTCAGTACTTCTTCACTTCAGTCTTCAGTACTCGTACCAGGGATTTGCGTTTAGAGCGTTTATGAGTGCATTATACAGCACTACAACGGCGTCACCCGATCAATGGCTGAGAGTTGCTGGGCCCTCCAATCTTCACGACTATTGACCGCAGTGGTGTAATCGCAGTTCTCGGATTTTACAATTTTACGGGCAGCAATAATGTTAATGTGGAGTCCATTAGTACGTTCTTAGTTCGGTGCGTGGAACGCAAAAAGTTTTGCTAGTCGTACGCCGTAACACTGCATAAGGTGCACTCGTGAACTCCACGCCATCTCATGTGTTACTCGTCCGGTAGGTTTTTCGCGCGGGCCCCCTCGTTTCCTCGTATGTCGCTCGTTTCCTCGCAGTCGTTGCCTTTCATTCTTCCTCTTCTACGGCGGTCGCGGGC